GGGAGGTGAGCGAACACATAGCGGCGCTCGCTCACCTCTCGATCCTGTCACGGCTCTCTGCCCTGACAGGGGAGGGGCTGGATCCCCCCCTCCCCGCTCCAATCCTCCAGCGCTGACTGGTGGAACGGACGGGGGAGGGGGCGGGTACAGCTGGCTCTGCCTCTACATAGGCAGAGCCAGATGTCACTCACGCAGCTGGGTGGATCTCAACGTCGATGTCGGGATCCGCTCCGGCTGCGGCGTCTCAGTATACCGCGAACTGTAGCTCGTGGTATACTGAGCTTAGGGTAACGGGAGGACGCTAGTTTGTTTCCCCCTGTTACCCTTAGGAGAACTATGGGGAAAAACACTGACCCCATAGTTCTCCTTTAAAGAAGTTAATTAAAGAAATTAAAAACTTACCCTTGCAGTAGGGCTACCCCTGCACTCCACAGCTTACGTGCTCGTTTTGTCTAGGGAACTCAAATAAAGCAGATATACTCACCTAATCCTTGGTCTTGGGCTGTCGTGGTCTGGTGGTCTAAGGACCACTGACATCATCATGTCTAATGCAAGTCTATTTGGGCAAGCAGGGCTAAATGTACAGCGGGGAAGCCCACGCTTGTTTTGTACAAGTGATCTTGGCGAGGCAGGTCTGCCATTCTCCATGGGGTTGGGGGGGTGCATTGAGTAACCTGGCTTTGGGGGCAGCAGAAAGAGTGAATCCGGCCCTGGTGAGGAGTTAGAGCCCCCTGTCAAGCTTGTATTTCAAAGCAAGTATAAACAAGGTGCTGGAGTCAACATATTGATAGGTCAATCCGATTCAAACAGGGCACGGTCACTCTGGTGAGGCTGCGCTCAACAAAAACGGGGTACCGTTGTAGAGGGGACCCAGAGGTGAGATCCACGTGTGCAAAGTCTAATGCGAGTTCAAAACAAAAGGTCTAAGAGTTCAAAGCCTTTTTAATATTGGTAATAATTCTCAACCAGAAAAACATGAAACAGCCAACTGCATTCTGGAGCTCAAAGATCTTGCCCTTTTTCAGGACTTAGATGTTATAAGTAGTTGGGAGGACTCAGAAATGGTAAAATCACCAGGAATATTTGTTGTGTGAATGGTATAGTATTCCCAGGATCGGACATACACTCCTGGCCGCCCTTTAACGTTCACATAGCAAACAATTAATCCTGATGATTAGCTACCTATAACACCTCAGCCCTGAAGAGGGTAGAGATCTTTAAACTCCCGGAACCAGTTGGCTGTTTTTATTTCTTATGTTATGAATTAATACCAGTATTATAAGACTTTGCACTGCTAGACCTGTGTTTGGCGCTCTCATTAGACTTTGTATACATGAATCCTCAAGATTGTATTCCAGTCTGTTTCCCCATCAGATAGCTTCACCCTACCTATTCTTCTTGGCGACCAATGATGCGAAATCAACATTTTACAGTAGGAAAAACCTTCCAATGGGGACATCTGTTCTTGTGACAGCTGTGAAAGAGTAGAACCCCCCCTCCCCTCCATTTGTAGAGATTTCTTCTTACTTCACTGCGAACACCGGCCTCTTCTGCCGCAGTTGCTGGCTGTCACTGACACAGCTCCGCAGCGCTGCTGAGCTGTGTCAGTGACAGCCAGCACCCCTACATGCCATAGCGACCCAGGCGATCCACACGGCATCAGAGGGATGCCCTGGCCGGACCCCCCTGTGCCCGTGCCCCATAGCGGCCGCCTGGTTCGCTATGGCGATTGTTAAGCCACTGCTCGCAGTGGTTTTAGCCCTTCCCTACTATATCCCAAACACAAAAAAAGGTTTTGCTTATACATGTGTCCATTTGGCCTGAATAAGTCTTTTTTAAAGTTGCTGCAGTTAAAAAGCTCTCATTTGGACCTTTTGATTTGTTTTTTGTTTTTTACATTTCTGCCTATTACATCTGTTTGGGTATTTTTCACACTTGAATTACAACGAGATCCTCACTGCTTTCCTGTGGAAATCTGAATGTTCTTTTCCCACCATTTCATTAGGTAAAGTAAGCAAAAGTCATTTCTTTTAACACAAACCAAACCATTGTACTGTACATGTAATATTAGTAGCCAGGTCCCCCCCCCCCCCCCCCCCCCCCCCCCCCGAGCCTTTCTTTGCCCCAGGGGGCATGCATTTGTTACATTTTACCAAGCTTACGTTGCAGTGAATGGCATTACATACGACTGCATGTTGCCTGCAGGAAAAGTGAGCTGGCGCTAGTGACTAAAATAATTTCTAGAGCTCATGTAACAGTTACCCAGAAATTAGACCGTCTTGCTTGCAAGTGAGAGTTCTTGTGTGACGCATGCTAATGATATGACCCCTTTTATCCCACTGCAGCTAATTCACCCAGATAGTCTGAGTCTGACGATGGTGTCATTAATTAGTCACCCTATATATACGCTCACATGAGTGCACCACATGCCATAGCTCTTTTCTTTGGGGATAGCCATTTCCCATGTATATTCATTGTGTCCTGCCTATTTTAGAATGTCTCTATTTAAAGTCCACCTAGCGCATCAGAAACTATCTGTGTCTCGGCTCTCAGCTCCTCTCCCTAGTGACCTGAAACAGGATCCATTAAATGGCCGCCAATACAGAACACGGACTTATATCTAAATGCACTCCATGCATATCTTCTTAAAGGGAATGAATAGTGGTTTTGTACAGCATTTCTTTTTGTATTTGTTATGGTCAGGGCTAGAAACAATAAAATAACTTAAACGAAAATTAGGTTATTATGAAAGAATCATTAATTTTTTAATTTTTTAATTTTTTTTAGAGTTTTAAAGTGACTCCTTGCAGACAGTTTTATTTCCCCCTTTGCTATGGCCAAATTCTGTTCTGGACATGCAAAGCTCTGACACTTCCAAGTAATGTCAGAGCTTGCCCACTCCCTCTCACCCTCCCCCTACATTCCTATTGGTTTATCACTATGACGGCTGCCTCCTTGGCCAATGGGACTGTGTGTGAGGCGGGGGAGGGTATGGGCAAGCTCCAAAACTAACAGGAAGTGCCAGAGCTTTTCTTGTTTGCATTGTCTACCATTTGGCATTAGCACAGGAAACCCGCTGCAGGTACATGCGGGACCTCCTAGTGCCTGTATACCTGGAAGTAGCTCATTTTTTTTAAAGTGGCATAGTCACTTTAGGTTTTTTATACATTTTTAAAGGCTCTTTGTTTTCTTCTTATATAAAATAAGCCTGCACAACTCAATTACTCATCAGCACAGTGGGATTGTGTTTCATGTAAACAAGTCGTACCTGAAAGCAAGCATCTCTGCTGTATCAACTATTTAGCTAACCCACAGTGCTCTAGGAATCCTTTGTCATATATTATATTTATAATGTAAAACAAAGGTTGTATGTTCATAAACACTACAAAATATAAAGTACAATAACTCTCCTGTGTTCCACTGTATAGTAATATTCCTTCCTAAGGACAGACGCTGCAAGATACCTGACACCATATTTCGATAGTGTGCCCCTTGCTTAGGAGCATATTTATAAATCAGTCAATGACTTTCATCACACATTCACTACTGGTGATTCAATCACTGTAATTTAGAACACATGCACTTGGAAGAACAGACTGTAGTGAATGCTCGGTGAATGTCAGATTTGCTCATTTATAAATATGCCCCTTAGCCCTCATTCACACGGGAATTGGCCGGCATGTACAGCTCCGTGCTGCGTGCACGTCCGTATCGGGCAGCTCCCGGGAAGGACAGGTGCTGCGTGTAGTACGCAGCCCCCGTCCTTCTCTATGGGACTACGCGGCCATACGTTGCCCTATGCTCACCCCAAGTGCAGGTCCGTACGGGTGCGGGTGTCCCGGCTCAGGATCTGCCCTGTCAGCGTGCAAGTACGAACACCTGCACCCGTACATACGTGCAATTATGCCGGGATCCGCCCAGCTGCGTGAGTGACAGCTGGCTCTGCCTATCTAGAGGCAGAGCCAGCTGTACCCGCCCCCTCCCCCTGTCCGATCCGCCAGTCAGCGCTGGCAGATCGGAGCGGGGAATCCAGCCCCTCCCCTGTCACGGCAGAGAGCTGTGAGAGGATCGAGAGGTGAGCGAACGCCGGTATGTGTTCGCTCACTTCCCAATCTACTGAGCCGACCTGTGACAGTTTCATTGTCACAGTTCGGCTAGAACTATGAGGTGAGTGGAAATCACTCATCTCATAGTTCTCCTTTAACTTTCTGTAAAAGACAATCAAAAAGACTGTGGCTTAGTGTTTTATTTGTATACACTTTGCAAAATGTATTACATTTATTGTCCTAATCAACCACATTGTAATTAAGACCTAAAACCAAACCTAACCCAAACCTATGCGATGAAAACTGAGCATTTGATGATAGATAAGTTTAGACAGATTCAAGTTTTCAGCAATATCCTGTTTCAGGACGCCATATTTGTCACTGATGAAGCCACTATTCAAACATGCTTTGAAATGTTCTAAAAAATTTGGGTAAACTTTTTCATTGCTGGGGATTGGAGTTGAGAAAACGCCATTTCACACCATTCATTGACATTGTACAATTATAAAGCAATCACATGAAAATACAGGCAACTGGAAATGTGAACCCTCCTTATCACACGACGGTCTGTTATTATGTGTAGCTGGAGTGATTGTAAATCCAAAATTGCAAGTGTCACCTTTCATCCGATCCTCATGTGTTTAGTGTCTGTATTTTCTGCTTTATTATTTGAGTTGACCTAATCACGTGTTGAACTGATTTTTTGGAGCATTGAGAATTGTAATTGTTCATGACTTTGTTTTACTTGTGAAAGTAAAATCCTCAATGTTTCTTTTTCTGCTCCTCCTTCACCCCATTATCCCATCTGTCCGTCTGCCTCTCTTCCAATCATTTTTTTTTCTGGCCGTAACATTTATCTTCCCCTCTTTTTTTGTGTTGTCTTTGTGTCCGGTCACTGTGTGTCGTGCCACTCTGTGTCGTCTTGGTGTTGTGTTACTCTGTGTGTGAACAAAGCTCCCTCTGGCAGTACCAGCTTGGAGGTGTTGACCCCCTTGCAGGATGTGAGTGTGTGCGCTGGGGAGGCAGCTGTGTTTGAGTGTGTGGTTTCGGGACCCCCGGATCTAGACGTGGACTGGATGTTCCGGGGGAAGCTGCTGCAGCCAGCCCTGCTGGACTGTAAGATGCGTTTCAACGGCAAGCAGTGTCTTCTACTCCTCAACTCTGTACATGAAGATGACAGCGGAGTCTACACCTGTAAACTGAGCACGGCAAGAGGTAGGTTGCACTCATTTTACTTTATTGCTTTTTTTTGTCCTTTAACTCTGTGTAAATATTCTGCTGCATTTTCCCTTGGAACAGATAAACCCAAAACCCAACCGAACTCTCAGCTTCAATGAGCTAAATATATTCCCATTGCATTAAAACAAAAGTCTTACATGCAAAGGCAAAGTCTTACAGTTCTTTCTAAAGCAGCCATGTCCTTATTAGAAATGCTGGTCCCCTGCCAACATTCTACAGAGAAGGAAACTTGCTCTCTGTGTAGAAGCAGGGGTCTCTCTATAGAGGTCTGACACCCCCCCTATTAATTCAGAGCTAGATCTGTACAATCAGTAGGAGCGTAAACTCAAACATAGCATTGGGTGTATTAGACTTCTGCAGCTAGCCACAAGCATGGCAAGGGACATGCTTTAGTAGAAAGTATGGAGTATTTGGGTGAGTACTCGTACTCGCCCAAATGCTCCGATGCCTAGCCCGATACTTCCTGTATCAGGAAGCTGGGCAGCGCGTCATTACATGCTGCCCGGCTTCCTGATTGGCCAGCTTTACCGACCAATCAGGAAGCCTGGCGCCGTGTAATAATTGATTGGCTCATGCTCCCTTGTCACTTCATGACAAGGGAGCATGGAGCCGGCTTCCTGGCCAATCAGGAAGCCGGACGCCGCGTCATTACACGGCGCCCGGCTTCCTGATTGGCCAGAAAGCCGGCTCCATGCTTTTCTCGTCATATAGTGACGAGGAGCATGGGAACTGCTTCCATGCTAATCGGAAAGCCAGGTGGCGAGTCATTACACGCTGCCTGGCTTCCTTAATGGGACTTCGCGTATCGGCATTCAGTATCGGCAAGTACCGGGAAAAAAAATATCGGTACTCGTACCCGATACCGAAATACCGGTATTGGTGCATCCCTTTCAAAACCTATTAAATCTGTATTCAGCATAGTGAAAGTTTATGCTGCACTTGGGTTTATGAAAAGATTTAGGGATTGCATTGAATTTTACCCTTTATGATAGAGTTGTGACTTAATTGCTCCCAAAGTTATGTCCTATCCTGGTACTGGGTTCACGTATACCATTAGACAGATGTAAGCTATTATATTGCGAAAGAATTGTTAGACCAAAAAAGTTGATGACACTGGTATAGGAGGAGTGCAGAAGATAAATTGAAAACACAATGGACCATGTTACTCATAATTTATACTTGAGACTTCAAGGAATCCTGTAGGTGAAAATGTGTAAGTTACCATTGGTTAAAAAAAAACATCCTGGTCCAGGCTTAAAGTGTAGTTCCACTTCAAATTTTATAAACTCCCACTATATGTTTATTATGTGTCCCATTAACTCAGCATAGCTAAAAATAATTCTTTAAAAATATATATTTCTTATCTTTCAAGTTGTTTCTTTGGACCAGGTTTGTGCATAGTGAGCTATTCTGAACAATTTCAAAGTGCAATTAGACGGGCAAACTGAGGACAGACTGAGGGACAACTCATTAACATGCAATGTACCACCCATGCCTTGAGATCTTTAACCAAATCAATATAACATGCCATGTACCACCCAAGCCTTGAGATCTGTAACCAATGCATTATAACATGCAATGTACCACCCAAGCCTTGAGATCATTAGCCAGCTCATTAGAACATGCGATGTACCACCCAAGCCTTGAGATCTGTAACCAATGCATTATAACATGCAATGTACCACCCAAGCCTTGAGATCTTTACCCAATGCATTGTAACATGCAATGTACCACACAAGCCTTGAGATCTTTACCCAATGCATTATAACATGCAATGCACCACCCAAGCCTTGAGATCTTTAACCAATGCATTATAACATGCCATGTACCACCCAAGCCTTGAGATCTTTACCCAATGCATTATAACATGCAATGTACCACCCAAGCCTTGAGATCTTTACCCAATGCATTATAACATGCAATGCACCACCCAAGCCTTGAGATCTTTAACCAATGCATTATAACATGCAATGTACCACCCAAGCCTTGAGATCTTTAACCAATGCATTGTAACATGCAATGTACCACACAAGCCTTGAGATCTTTACCCAATGCATTATAACATGCAATGCACCACCCAAGCCTTGAGATCTTTAACCAATGCATTATAACATGCCATGTACCACCCAAGCCTTGAGATCTTTACCCAATGCATTATAACATGCAATGTACCACCCAAGCCTTGAGATCTTTACCCAATGCATTATAACATGCAATGCACCACCCAAGCCTTGAGATCTTTAACCAATGCATTATAACATGCAATGTACCACCCAAGCCTTGAGATCTGTAACCAACTCATTATAACATGCAATGTACCACCAAAGACATTGTGCACATATAGACTACATCAGATAATGGAGATCTTCCAGCGTAGTACAGTCAGTATGATTTATGGTAAACAATAACCACCAGCCCCTTCCTAAACATTACATAGAGGTGGAAAGCTGGGCAGGGATTTTAAGCAAGTAGAAAGATAAGCATCAATGTTTAAATACTTGATTAAAGTCATGCAATGTGAATGGGAACATGGAACAAGTGTAGAGCAGGTGCTATCCCGATCTGGCTGCAAAAATGGAAATGCACTTTAAACCAACTCTTTCCCCTTGCCAATGTTTACAGAAACCTCCTGCCAAGTACAAAATGCCCGTCCTGTAAACAAGTCACTTAACCAGAGAACAATAACTCTTCTTCAGTCTTCCTCCGAGACTCATTCTTCCCCTATTGGGGGGCTCCATCTTGTCTCCCAGACAGCTATTAGAAGGTGAAGCCTTCAGTGTCCCGGGGGGTGGTTAGAGATGGAGGTGAGGGCTAGGCTAATGTTTTTTGGCAATTTAAATTTGCATATCAGTAGTGGGACTGCTTTATTCTCCTCCTTTGGTTGCATGTTTTAGGGTAGAGAAGAAGTGTGTCTGACAAAACTCATTTCATATTATGACTGATTATGACGTTGCCATTATGTTAAAGGAGAACTATGGGGTAAGTGTTTTTCCCCATAGTTCTCCTAAGGGTTACGGGAGGACACAAACTAGCGTCCTCCCATCACCCTAAGCTCAGTATATAGCGAGCAACAGCTCGTGGGAAAATGAGACCGCCGCAGCCTGAACAGATCCCGACATTACAGTCCAGATCCGCCCAGCTGCGCGAGTGACAGCGGCCTCTGCCTATCTAGAGGCAGAGCCAGCTGTACCCGCCCCCTCCCCTGTCTGTTCCGCCAGTCAGCACTGGAGGATCGGAGAGGGTTAATCCGTGCAGGGAGCTGTGAGTGACAGTCACGGCTCTCTGCAAGGACATGATCGAGAAGTGAGCGAGCGACGGTATGTGTTCGCTCACTTCCCGATCTATTGTCACACGTCATCTCGAACTATGAGGATGAGTGAAACTCACTCACCTCCTAGTTCTCCTTTAATATATTTTGGAAAAGGAAAGGTTCACTTTAACCTCTTGACTTGGAACAAGCTCGTAGCCAGTGAGCTCTGGAAAGGCAGCTCCCATATTTATATTTATACCATGACATTAGCATTGGAACAGTGCATTCCTTTTTCCTAAATAGCTTTATCAATGACGATCATTTAAGGACATATGCACATGTTACCATTTGTTAACTATAAGACATGTAAGCTGCGGAAAAATTCGGTTCAGATATTTCATTTTTTCGGAATTCGGATCCGAAATTCAATTTGGTTCGGGTTTTGGATTCGGAATCCGAATTTTCGTTAGTTTCGGATGAGTTTATGAAGTTTTGTTGCGAATACCACAGAAAACCAGATACAGATATTAATACTAAAGCTAAATCTCCCAGACCCGAATGGCATTTGGTATCCGAATTTCCGAATTGTATTGGGGAGCTCATGAATGCCACTCAGATCTGGGAGCCGTATACATATATTACTAAAGCTGCGGCTCCCAGACCCGAATGGCATTTGGTATCCAAATTTCCGAATTGTATTGGGGAGCTCATGAATGCCACTCAGATCTGGGAGCCGTATACATATATTACTAAAGCTGAGGATCCCAGACCCGAATGGCATTCGGGAGCTCCAAATACAATTCGGAAATTCGGATCGCAAATGTCATCCAGGTCTGGGAGCCATATATATATAAATATAATACTAAATCTGAGGCTCCCAGACCCGAATGCCATTCGGGTCTGGGAGCCTCAGCTTTAGTATTATATGTATATACTGTATGTGGGTCCCATGTTGCCGTAACGAAAATTCATGTTCAGACCCATTCGGATGCATTAAACCGAAAAACACATCTGATTGGCCAGAAAAGTCACATGCCCAAATCAGTTTAATTTTTTTACGTAATTCGAACAGGATCCAGAATTTGGAAACGGAAATTCAGATTCGCACACATTCGGATGCATTGGGGTTCGGAAATTCGGATGTATCCAAATGTCAGAATTTCGGAAAATTTGTCCGAATTTTGATTCGGAACGCAATGAATCGCACATGTCTATTAACTATAGGCATTTTTTTAATTAAAACAACAACCCAACAGCAGAAGTGTTATTATGCCTTTTATATTGTACACCTTGCACAGTCAGACACTTAAAGGGTCAGTCCACCCAGAACTGATGGACTGACCCTTTACCTATAGACATAATTTTAATTTCCTTAAACAGCCAAAACTTTCTTTTGTCCTCCATATAAATATTTCCACTACTCTTAGATATGTATGTTATTCACCTTTCTTTGCTGAACTCATCTCTGTGCACCTTGTCTTTTCCTCCCCGCTTCCTGTACTCATCCTAGATGAACTGACGTGCAGCGCTGTGCTGACTGTTCACCCCTCACTGGCTCCCCTCTTCACCAGGAAGATGCAAGATCGGGATGTGGTAGAAGGTCGCACTGCCCGACTGGATTGTAAAATCAGTGGCACGCCACCCCCTGTTGTCACATGGACCCACTTCGGTTAGTGCTCCAGCTCAATCCCTCCAATGATAGCCGAGCTTTCTAACACTAAATCCCTCAAAACCACAGCAACACCCTGTATCATATAAACTACTAACCAGCTATAATGTGTTATTTCCATTTGTAAAGTATGTCTGCATGTGAATCATTTTTATTTGGTGTAATGAGGGAGGTCTGATCTCCAGGCTCTCTACATATTTCTATGGAAGATGCATTAGAACGGGGTGCCCACAATTTTTGTGTTAAGATCTACTTTTCAAATGACGAGCTACATGAGATCTACCAACAGAAAAAAAACACCTTCCTCTCTCTTCCCCCTGGCTGCCTCTCTCCCCTGTCTGTCTCTCCTCTCTCTCCTGTCTGTCTCTCCTGGCTGTCTCTCCTCTCTCTCCTGTCTGTCTCTCCTCTCTCTCCTGGCTGTCTCTCCTCCTTTGACTCCTCTCTCTCTCCCCTAGCTGTCTCTCCTCTCTCTCTCCCCTGGCTGTCTCTCCTCCCTTTCCTGGCTGTCTCTCCTCTCCCCTGGCTGTCTCTTCACTCTCTCCTGTCTGTCTCTCCCGGCTGTCTCTCCTCGCTCTCTCCCCTGGCTGTCACTACTCTTTCTCCCTCCTGGCTGTCTCTCCTCCATCTCTCCTGGCTGTGTCTCCTCACTCTCTCTTGGCTGTGTCTCCTCACTCTCTCTCCTGGCTGTCTCTCCTTGCTCTCTCCCCTGGCTGTCTCTCTCCTGGCCGTCTCTCCTCTCTCTCTCCTGGCTGTCTCTCCTCTCTCCCCTGGCTGTGTTTCCTCACTCTCTCTCCTGGCTGTGTCTCCTCACTCTCTCTCCTGGCTGTCTCTCCTCTCTCTCCCCGGGCTGTCTCTCCTTGCTCACTCCCCTGGCTGTCTCTCTCCTGGCCGTCTCTCCTCTCTCTCCCCGGGCTGTCTCTCCTTGCTCACTCCCCTGGCTGTCTCTCTCCTGGCCGTCTCTCCTCTCTCTCCCCGGGCTGTCTCTCCTTGCTCACTCCCCTGGCTGTCTCTCTCCTGGCCGTCTCTCCTCTCTCTCCCCGGGCTGTCTCTCCTTGCTCTCTCTCCTCTCTCTCTCTCCTGGCTGTCTCCTCTCTTTTTCTCTCCTGGATGTCTCTCCTCTCTCCCCTTTCTGTCTCTCCTCACTCTCTCTCCTGGCTCTCTCCCCTGGCTGTCTCTCCTCACTCTCTCTCCTGGCTGTGTCCCCTCACTCTCTCTCCTGGCTGTCTCTTCTTGCTCTCTCCTCTGGCTGTCTCTCCTCTCTCTCTCCCCTGGCTGTCTCTCCTCACTCTCTCTCCTGGCTGTGTCCCCTCACTCTCTCTCCTGGCTGTCTCTCCTCGCTCTCTCTCCTGGCTGTCTCTCCTTGCTCTCTCTCCTCTCTCTCCTGGCTGTCTCCTCTCTCTTTCTCTCCTGGATGTCTCTCCTCTCTCTCTCCCCTGGCTGTCTCTCCTCACTCTCTCTCCTGGCTCTCTCTCCTGGGTGTCTCTGTTAGCTGTCTCTCCTTGCTCTCTCTCCTGGCTGTCTCTCCTCGCTCTCTCTCCTGGCTGTCTCTCCTTGCTCATCCTCCTGGCTGTCTCTCCTAGCTGTCTCTGCTCTCTCTCCTGGCTGTCTCTCCCAGCTGTCTCTCCTTGCTCTCTCTCTCACCTCACTCTCTCTCCTGGCTATCTCTCCTCTTCCATTTGGTTTCTTCCCTGGTGGCCTTGTGGGTCCCTGGAGATCTCTCTCTCCCACTCACAGTCACAGACTGTCCTATCTTGCCTCTCTGCTGGAATGCTACACTCTACCTGAACTGCAGACTCAGCGGTGCTAGTGCGGCCAAATGTGTTGGTTGATGCAGGCAGGAAAGGGCAGGATGCCCCTCCCTGTCTGCAGCGTCGGACACATTCGGTCGCATTAGCACTGCGATGGTGAGCTTGACTTGCGATTGCGATCTAACAGCGTTAGCTTTGTGAACGACTGGTAGATCCCCATCGACCTAATAGGCAACCGTGCATTAGAAGGCTTGTGACTACATAATGCTAGAGCACTCTTAATGGGAAAATGCAAAAAATGCACTCCACCTCAGGAGGGCAAATCTGAACACTCAACTGACAGCAAAAGCCTGGCCATCAAGACCTTGGCAGGATTGGGATTGACCTCTCCACCAGACTCATGGGAAGCAGAAGGATCACATGATATACAGTATCTTCATATCAAAAATATTTTTTTTTATTGTTTTACTATACTTTACATCTCAGCAGGCAAGAAGTCTTTCATTAGCTATCCTACAACTTTTTTTTTAATAGTTTCTGTGGCATTACGCGGTGTGTGATCCTCGGCTGTGACTTTACTGCTTCCCATGAGTCTGATGGAGAGGTCAACCCAAACCCTGCCAAGGTCTTGATGGCCAGGCCTTTGCTGCCAGTTGAATGTTCAGCTTTCCCTTTCTGAAGTGGAGTGCATTCTTCGCATATTCCCATCTAGAGTGCCCTAGCATTATGGAGTCACGAGCCTTGTAGTGGATCTTCCATAGAAATATTTGGGAAGATGAGTCCTGGCTGTCACTGAAGGAACAGAGTGGACACAGAGAGCCCGGAGATCAGACCTACTCCATTACACCAAATAAAATAAAAATCAGAGCAGACTTTCACATTACTAAACTAAAGCCGCCATTTACCACATTTTGCCCAAAATAGCAGCTAACACAAAGCCACGGCCTGCACAGACAATTCATCCAAATTATAAATATTTCAATGTTTTTGCAAGCATTGGGGCTTTCATGGGAAATTTATCTCTGGCTCCTTCACTTTAAAGGAGTTGTAAAGTCCCAGCATATCCCATCCTGTTATAACATCAGCATTGTAATAGGAATACACCGTGGGGTCATAAGGGGGGTGCGACCCGCATACCGCGGGATACCTCATCCCGCCGGGTGAACGTCCCCTCTTCTCTCTGCCGGCGTCCATCAACAAGATGGCCGTCGGCAGGGGTCAATAAGATGATCGCGCATGCGTTGATGATGTCACGGCGGGGTGTCACCTGGTCTCCGCTACGGGTGTCACCCAGCCTTGGGACGCCCCTGGGAATACATACTAGAGATGTTTCTGATAATGCAATCAAAGCTTACATGAACAAATCCCTTTTATGTAGTGAGTGACGCCTTCTGTCTGCCCATCACTTCCAACATCTTCCTGGATTCCCAGTGTGCTTTGCGTCTCTTTCCCTGCTGCATACATACCCCATCATGAATTGCATCCAGCAAGCAATGATAATGTTACACTGTTGAGTTGTAGTTCAGAAGGCAGGCTCTGCGAGAGTGGTGACACCAGGAAGTGCACATTCACAGGTCTGAGTTAAATGGTGTCAGTGCATTGAGGAAGTCCATTCTATGGGCATCTTCAATAAGAACATTTACAGACTTCTAGATCCATAGGGTTATCAGGAGCAGGATAGAGCTTATGGATATTCAATATAGAAATACAGATTTATTTTTCATTTTTGACCATAGGGATGCACAGATACTTTTCGAGTACCAGTGCAGATACTTGGCATTTTCATGAGACCTCCCAGCAATTGCAGCGGTTGCAGCTGGGACCTGGCTCTGGCGCTCCACCACTGTCCTGAAATCATTAGTCTGTATTGTTTTAGAAAAACTGTCACATGACAATAAACAAAAATGTATCAGTACTCGTACTTGTAAGTACTCGGCAAGTACCAGTACTCGTACTCGCAAAACTGGTATCTGTGCATCCCTTTATTTATATTTATAAAAACAAAATCATACATTAAAACAGAGATGTACAAATCCCGGGAGCTCCGTGTGCTCCTTACAGATGACAGCTGCCTCCTAACTTCTGAATTTGTCTCTAGTCTAGTCCTGGAGCTGGAAAAGTATCTGTACTTGTACTTGTACTGAGTACAGTACTTGCTATCGTTGCATCCCTAATAGATACCCTTTAAGAGTTTTTATTTTCAATGTTTAAGATTTGCTTTTCCATAATAACAGGTCAGCCAGTGGAAGAGAGCGAGACCCTCCATATTCTAAGGGAGAGGGGGCACCATACTCTTCTTATCACCCACGTGTCCAGTGAAGATGAGGGCCAATATACAGTGACTGCCTGCAACCAGCATGGAGAAGAGGAATGTTCTGCAGAGCTATATGTGGAGGAACCTAGACTTTCCACATCATCACACATGTAAGTGATGTCATCACCGGGTCTATGTGCTTCTTTATGCAATGCAGGCAGATTTTGGCTGGTGGGAGGGGCTGGCATGGTGCTGTAAAATATACATAGCTTCCTGAAATCATAACAGCACCTTGACTCAGTACTCCTCTCAAGATCCCTCAGCATTAATGCAAGTAGGGCACTGGCGCTTGGGAGGAGTTAGGCAAATATCAAAATGCTGTGAAGGGTGGATGTCAGTCTAGAGGAGTGGGTGCTCCTGGGAAGACTGCATTTGCACGTAGACCGCCCTAGGTAACACCAACATGTGATGCTGAGCCTCCGTGATTGAAAGGATTGAAACCTAATTAATAAAAGAAGCATCAAGCCTGGAGAGTAAAATGCTAGATGATGCTGGACGTCCTCCAGCCAAGAAATGAGGTGGGCTCTATCTAACTGCAGCTTCTAATGCACATTGTGAGAAGCTCCCAGTGTGCAGTGAAATCAGAGACTAGGAGAAGAGCCGGTACAACTGTGCAAGACTGTTTTGGATAGAGTAGGGAAGGGTCAGAACCCTTGTTGAGTTTTTATTGTGTCTGTGTCCATACTGGAGAGATTTACCTCCTGTATTTGTCCTGTGACCATTATCACTGAGACAGGAAGTGATGGGAAGTCCATAATTTTACAGTTTTACAGAACAAGAGATGAGGGAAAATCTTCCCATGTGCACACCTCTTCCGATGACAACTGTCTAAGAAGGGAATTCCCCTGACCTGACCCTGAACAACACATTGACGGTTCTTTACTTCTTTACTCTATCCAAAACTAAAAGTTTAAACTATAAATACAATGTAATGAGTTCTCTTCTTTGTATGAAGCATCAAGATGGCCTTATATCAGGAAACATGAAAACAGGCCTTCAATCACCTCTGTAGCTGCAGGCACTGTTGAGCAATTCATTGAAATTCATAAGAGTTGCAGTGCAGTCATTCATGTCTGGTCTCAGCGTTCTGCTCTCTCCTCTCCCAGTTCTCCTGCTCTCTGTTTAGATTAGAGGTCAGAAGACTTCCTGGTGACCTCCTGGCAGAGAGGAGGACAATGACCTAAGCTGAAACTGCTTTCTGCTGTAAACTTTGAACATGAACTTCTCCATAGTGACTGCAGATACAGAGGTCAATGAGGGCTTATTGCTGCTTGTTTGAATATGTCAATATTTCAATTTCCATAGTCTAGCCACAGTTCTTCTTTAATCTGAGCTCTATTCACCTCAAGTTGACCGGAGCTCAGTAAGCACTGGATTAGCCCTTTGGGGAAGTGGTTACGGGGTGCACAGGCAGCGAAAGGAAACTTCACATGAACCATCGATGAAAGGTGGTAATAACTAATATGATTGGACTGCTTATGTTTCTACATCTTATTACTTTTTTCCTCTTCACAATAACAATAATTTCCTAATTCTTCCTTCAGATCCAAGCTGGAAAAGATGCCTTCCATTCCTGAGGAACCAGAAATGCAGGACAGTGAGGTGGAGGGGGTGCTTATGCCGGATTTCCTGCGGCCACTGCAGGACCTTGATGTGGTGGAGTCCCGTGAGGTTCAGTTGGAATGTCAAGTAACTGGCTTACCATATCCAACCATCACCTGGTACCACAATGGAAAGAAGATCCAGAGCACGGATGACTGCAGAATGACCCAATGTGAGAAATGCTTCCGCTGAAATGTTACAAAATTGTGCAAAACTCTGACAGACATGCAGTCTAAAGTTAACTATAGATGTCTTTGAACAGCCAGGTGTGCCGGCATGATGTCTTTGGCCCAGCGTTGGTTGTAAACTTGAACATTCTGGTTGCTTGAACATTGCTTCTTAGGGCAATAGGGAAGGAAGGGGAGAAGCACTTGGACAGTCTGCAGAAACCAGACATTGCTTTTTAGGGCAATTTCCTTTTACTTCCTGTCCTAGAGACACAACAGGAAGTGGCAAGAAATCACTGCAAAGTGAAAGGAAATGTCCTATTTGATATGTCACTAGAACAGGTGCCCCAGTTGGAACATTTTCCTTCTATTCCAGTGACTATTGTAAAATATTTGATTTCCCATCTATGACAATGGTCACCAGGACAAATTGGGTCAATCTCCACAGCATGGTTAAAAAAACCACTTCCTTGAAATCTAATGGTCAGGGGTGTCTGTAGAGGACTTACCGTGACCACAGAATTGCAATTGTTTTCATATCCGTTCACAATTGACCAGTTCATGCAACAATCATCTTAAGGCTACAGGTAACCTTAAAGTGTGTCTAAACCCAAATCCTTTTTTTTCCTAGACGGTCACTCTACTTTCTTTCAGATAAGGCCGGTTCAGGTGCGCATAAAGATTCAAGTTATGTCAAAAAAAATGTGCATGTTATTGGAAAAATGAAGATACTTAGGGGTCAAATCTTCTAACCGTAGCTGTCACAGTCTGGGAACCAGACACTAGGGATGGTAGGCTTTGGGGCTTACAGAGCGGGTTAGGACTAACTGAGCTGATGCCTGGGATGCAGGTCACAGCGAACCCAGGGACTGAAGACAGTGTGTTACTGGGGACTTGCTAGAGGCGCAGGATCTTAGGAGTGTCGGGTCTTCACCAGAGCCCCAGAAGGTAGGGATGTTACGCTGCCGGACACCTCCCAGGTTGCTGTCTTCTAGCACACCCGTGACTGGATGACTGGATGCACCACCAAGGTTCTGGATTTAAAGGCAGGCAGGGGTGAAGCCTGCACACAGACTGCAGATCAGGACTACAGGATACTGAGGAACTCAGAGGTAGAAGTCCAAACAATAGTGTGATAGGAACACTGGTATAAAATAGAGAGTCAGCAACAACAAGGCTGTCCGGAATTCTCTGAAGAAGCAGGCTGAATGGAACAAGCAGCCACAGAGGAGAAGGACTGAGACTTACAGGAAAAGCAAGAGCTCACTGAAGGAGGTGATAACATCTACTTACTGGACATACAGGATCACACTGGGAGTACGGAGCAAACTGAAGAGGAGACAGGAAACAGCAACACTGGTAAGTTGCAGTTTGTAGGTATTCAACGGAAAGGAGCTCCAAATGACAAAAAGGTTCGGAGAGGATTGGCAGGAAGCTTGGCACCTCGGACAGGAGGCAATACCCGGCAAGGGATCGATGCACAGGGAAGTGTGACTGTAGCTACCAGCAGGGCCGGATTTCCCTCAAGGCCAACCAAGGCCCGGCCTTGGGGCAGCATTGTGTAGAGGGGCAGCAGGGGTGTGGAATTCTATCTCCCGATGCCTGGTACATGCAGTTCCAGAAGCCGGGCAGGTAGTTGTTTTGTACATCTAGCCCTGCTTTCAGTATGGGGGGGGGGGGTTGGCGGGTAGGGGCGCATTGAGGAACCTGGCCTTGGGGCAGCAGAAAGAGTAAATCTGGCCCAGGCTACCAGATTGTATTTATAAGCCTAAAAACTGTTCTGCTAAGATAAGTGTGACCATAAGCAGCCCAAGTTCGCCCAATATCCAGTGCAAAATATGGCATTCCAATTGTTGGAAAATTCTTTTTCTTCCCCAAATTGAAGAGGGAAGTAAGGTGTTAACTGTCCCTGGCAGTTCTCCAATCAGGTGACTCGCATTAAAAAACAGAGGCAGATGAACAGATGCCAGTAGCCTGTTTAAGTGTGGCACAAAGCCTGCCCTCTAAGCTATTATACATGCATATATATGTTCCTTGATTAAAAAAAAGATTGGTGGATAGCTTGGCATGTTGGAACTTAAAACCTGCACATGTTATGCCCACGTTATTTTCTGCTAATTTTTACTTATATGTCTATGATTGTATTTTTGTTCAGATAAGGACATCCATCGTCTTGTGCTCCCATCTGTAAGCCACACACATGCCGGTGTTTACAAGAGCGTCATCTCAAACAAGGTTGGCAAGGCCGCATGCTATGCTCACCTATACGTCACAGGTAAGAAAAATAATGGAAATGCTTCATACTCAAGATATTATAATAGTTACCCTGCAAAGTATGGAAGTGCTAGCCGGCCTGACGCCATGGATTCAATGCTTCTTGAGTCATTGACTTGGAACAAGTATGCAACATTTTTATTAACCGTTTCACTTCTTTCAGATGTGGTCCCAACTCCTCCAGATGGTCCCCCAATTATAGCATCTGTGACTGGCAAAGTTGTCAAACTGAGATGGAATACCCCCAAAAGGCTGGACCCTGCTATAGGTCTGAATCTCGAGGGCATCCCCTAATTGCATGTCCATCCTATTGGCTCTAAACCTCATACTGGTGCTCACCAGCCATTACATCTTTGTTTTTCAGACCTGGAGCAGCTGACTTATTCCATCCAGCAGCAAGTGGTGGGTTCTCTGCAGTGGACAGTCATTGCTACCAACGTGAAAGAGACCAGCTACTCTGTCAAAGCATTGACCAAAGGTCACCAGTATCTGTTCCGTGTGGTGACCTACACTGCTACAGCACACAGCAAACCAACTCCTCCCAGCGAGTGTGCCAAGCTTCTAGACAGGGGTGAGGATGCATCGTGATGGAAGTTTTGTCAGTTTAGACCACAAAAAAAGTTGACATTCAAATCTTAATACTCAAATCAATTATTCACCAAATAAAATCAGAGTTTTGAGTTTCATGAAATCATATTCCATTCAGATATAGATCAGAAATCTCATTTATTCCTTTGTGGCTAATTCACCTCTATGTGCTGCACCTTAACGCACATTTGAAGCAACCCTGTGAACCTTGTGAAATAACAAAGAACTGGTAAAATAATAAGTTACATACTTACCTTTCCAGCGAGCAGTGTGTAAAATCTTTTCTTTCTTGAAGAGTTTCGGGTGCAATGCCTGCTTGGCGCTGTGGTTACTCCCATCAGCTGCTATATTACTACAGAAAACACCCCCCCCCATGGGGTCATGTCACCCAACGCATCCAGAAATGTTGCAGCCATGGAGGATAGCAGTCATCTTCCTTAGTTCATGTCCCCCTGTCAGGGTCGGATTCACTCTCTCTGCTGCCCCAAGGCCAGGTTCCTCAATACGCCCCCCTACCCATCAAACATCCCCCAATGGAGAATGGCAGACCTGCAGGCTGCATACAAGTGATCTCGGCCCCAAGGCCAGGTTCCTCAATACGCCCCCCTACCCGTCAAACACCCCCCAATGGAGAATGGCAGACCTGCAGGCTGCATACAAGTGATCTCGGCGACATCACTGAGATCACCTGTACAAAACAAGTGGCGGCTTCACCGCTGTACATTTAGCTCTGCTTGCCCAAAGCAGGGCTAAATGTAGATAACAACTACCCACCCAGCGCGCAGAACTGCGTTGGGAAATAGGAATTCCACACCCCTGCTGCCCCTCTTCTCCCTGCTGCCCCGAACAGCGAATTATTGGTTGGCCTTGTGGCAAATCCGGCCCTGCCCCCTGTAGGTGGAGCACTTACTCCATTGTGGTGTGTTACCTAATGAACTAAACAAGAAACAATGTCAGTGTGGTTACAAATTAGCGCTTCAAACCATAACCAGAAATGGCAGTGTTGCCAAATATAGAAATAAAACCTGTAACCCCCAGTAGGGAAAGCCATCTAAATCTGAGCTGTGGCTTTGTTGTTCCAGGTCCATATCTAGCGGAACCGCCAGTGATCATAGACCGCCCTGAGCTCCTGTACATGGTAGAGAATCAGCTCTTGTGTATCACAGTCACCCTGAACCATGTGGAGGCCAATGTCACCTGGAAGAGGTAACAAACGGTGTAAACTACTTTCTCATTCCTGACCTGATCGTATCCAAGCTTATAGTTAGAGCTGATGCTGTGTAAAGAATGTCGTCTATACAAAGACTGGACACTGCTTCTGAAAGTGGTAGCATAGGCACCCAGCCAGCCCAAATCCCACAAAACAATGTTTGCCTATTGACAGGCCCAGCCGTTGTTCTATAGGAGATATGAGAAGGCTAAATGTCAATGGGTGGGATTTGCAGAGGCACTTTGGAAGAATCTATGTATGCTGGTCACAGATGAATAGTAAACTAAATGTATGTTTCCTTATTAGGGGTTGATAGCCTCTAGATAGGCAGAGCCAGCTGTCACTCACGCAGCTGGGTGGATCTTGACAGTAATGTCGGGATCCATCCCGGCTGCAGCGGTCTCAGTATACTGTAGCTCGCGGTATACTGAGCTTTGGGTCACGGGAGGACGCTAGTTTATGTCCTCCCGTGACCCTTAGGAGAACTATGGGGAAAAGCACTGACCCCATAGTTCTCCTTTAATTAAACAGCCAATGCATTTTTGGTGCAAACACAACCCACTTCCCTAGGGCCTGGAAATGATGGGAATAAAGGATTGGACTGCATTAAAAAAATTTGAATTTAGATCTTATGGGTAGTTTTCCCCCAAATTTTTAGATTGCAGGAAGTGATTGCTATTGCCCTGAGGCCAGGGGTGGTGTCTGCCCCTGAAACCGCATGGGGAAGCGGTGCTTTTGGCCTCCTGAAACACATTGGCTGTTTGATCAACACAATTATTAACCTTTTTTATGGACTCGAACATCTGTTTTGGTGTGGAACTCTTCTACTGATTTCTCCAAGCAGAAACTCTCAGTTTTGCTCAGTGAGCTGGTTAGGTGATACGTGTGTGTTATAAGAAATAGTTTTGTTTATAGAATTTATTGTTCTTTGTGTTTTTTTGTGTATTTTGTTATTTGTGTACTGTTGCTTTTTTGCTGTTGTTTGGATTTATTCAGTGAAATTAGGGCCCAATTCACACCTGGGCGGTCGCGGATCAGCGGGGTTTCCACGTGGATCTTAAAAGGGTGGTTTTGTAATTGCGTTTCAGTGCTGAAACGCAATTAAAAACGTCCAAAACCCCGCTCAACAGTGCGTTTTCATTGAAAGCAGAATGGAAGCCAAGCTGATCAGCGTGGCAAAAAAGGGTCAGGGAGCAATTCGGGCGGGAAGCGGTTTGGATCGCGCGGAGCTACGCAGTCGCATGAACGGTCCCCATAGCAATGTATGGGATCGTTCATGTCGGTGGATCCGCACGGAACCGCCCTGGTGTGAACGGGGCCTTAATTTTTTTGGACATGAACATGTGCAGGATAGTTGAATGGAGCCTTTGTAACCCTCATAAACTAAAGCCAATTGCACTCTTAAAACCACCAAATACTATCTTAATTTTGCCTTCCCCAGTGACCTCAATTTTGTTTTGTTTTGGATATTGTAGAGAATGGTTAGAAGAACCACTGTCAGTTTAGGCTTTTCTTTGCTGTCTGTGTACCGGTGAGATTTCCCTTCACTTCCTGTCCTGGAGATGCCATGGTAAATGAGAGGAAATCTCCACAAAGTAAGGGGAATTGCTCTCCAAGACAGCTGTCATCTGAACGGGTGTCCCCATTGGAAGGTTTAGCCTCGCCTCCTGTTCTGGTGACAACTTTAGATTTCCCATCACTTTTTGTCTTGGGGTGGTCACCAGGACAAATATAGAGGAAGAATCATACCAGAGGGGACCCACACAGTGATTAAAAAAAACAAAAAGGCTCTAACCATTCCCCACTCCATCCAAAATTAAAATACAATGTTTTGGCTATTGATGCACTTTAATTTATCTCATCACACCCCTTAAGGCGCCCGATCTTCAGGGAACGTTTTGGTTTACAAGCTCTATGTAAATCATATTTTGCAGAACATTTGCTGATAATTATTTATGATCCCATCGAAAACCACCACTACAACCGTTTTGTAAGGGCTTTAGATTTGTTTTGTGGATACTCAGTTTAGCGGGAGAAACCATTTTGCAGAGCCGTTCACCCTGAAAAACTCAGTGAACTTTCATTGTGTGCGAATGGAGGCACAAATTAACGTTCTCAGTGTATTTTCTTTTCAAGTCGAATATGATATTATAAAATACCACGTTATAGCCACTAGGTGGAGATGAGGAGCATATTAAATAAATGTTCATTTCCGATGCTTATCAGCTCCATCTAGTGGCTATAACGGGGTATTTTATAATATTACATTTGACCTGGAAATAAAATAGACTAAGAACATTTGTTCTTGCCTCTGTAAATTGCAATTGTGCAGGACAAATGGCTCTGAGAATTGATTATAAATACTCGCCTTAGTGTTTTAGGACGGGCTCATTGAATATAATAAGTCCAACTTCCTTTTTTGGCCAAGCAAACCAGATTTGTGCCCTATTATAAACACAAGTCCTTTTCCCTAGAGCAGGCACGATTCTGCGCAGCGTGGATGGCGTGTGTGAGATGAGTATGCCGGACGATGGGCAGCACTCGCTCACAATCTTCAGTCCCAAGAAGTCTGACCTCGGCCCACTGATGTTTGAAGCCAGGAACCAGTATGGAGCCGACCGGTGCACCATCAGCATAGAGATGGCAGGTACCAGTGGCAGAGTGTCTAAACTGTACAGAGCAATGACTGGTCACAGATATAACAAGCAGAAGGGCGGGTGCTGTGCCCTTCAATGAACGCAGAGAAAAGGATTTTATGGTGCGTACAAAAAAAATCCTATTTTCTCTCCTGTTCCTTGAAGGACACAGCGGAGGTCTTGAACCTTCAACCGATGGGGCATCCAATGGAGATGGTAGTTCAAACGTCTCTACACTGTGTCCTTTCTGACAGTTATGGTAGATGGTAATCACACAGTAGATTGTATCTCAAGTGGTCTAGTAACCAGGAGCATAACTACAAACGAAACATGGTCAGATCGGGGCCCCCCACCCCCTCCCCACCACCACTATTTTGTAGTCTATTCATTCTTCCTTATGTCCATGATAGTGAATATCCATGCAGAGGTATGGACATGGACAGGAGAAAGAGTCTGCAAGAGCCAGGGCATTGCACCTGTCATCCACTGATAGCAGTTGCAATGCTTTACTGGCCCCCATGCCAAAAATAATAAATGCACATTTTTTTCTTATAAAGAAGTGTACATTTATTATTTGTTTCTAAAAGGTGGGCTTTGCCTTTAAAGCATCAGATACGGATTTTCATCCAACAAGTACTGAATTTTGGATAGAGTGGGGAACCTCTGTCAGGTTTGTCTTGCTGTCTGTGTCACTGGCAGAAAAACTGAAAGGGAATCCAAATTGTTACAGTTGTCACTAGCTCAGAGATGACACAGACATATAGATCCTGGTGCCCAAGCTTTAGCCTTACTATTCTTGGTTCTGTGAACATCTCACGCAGATCAGCCCCCTACTACAAGATTTAAAGGATAAGTTCACCTTTTGCAAAAATTAAAGTAATTCATAATTAATAATATGTAAAAAATATGCATTTCTTTAATATTTGCATTCCAGCCTGGAAAGCAATTGTGATCACTCGATCACAGCGGTAAAGCTCAGGCTTCTGCACATTCTCTCCCAGGCAGAGCTCCGTATGGAGGTACAGAGTTTCAGTTAGGAGAGATGGGGGAAGGACGGCTGGACTTCAAACTGCATTAAATCAGCTAATACGCCGTCCAGCCGTCCTCACTCTAGATAGATGCAGGAATATGGGCAGCTCTACCTAGAGCAAGGACAGCTGGGCGCCGTATGAGGTGGTTTAATGCAGTTTGAAGTCCAGCCGTCCTTCTGCCAGAAAGTTACAATGTACAGTATAAGTGAATGATCATTGAGGAAAGTTATGGAGATGCTTCCTTCCACGTTCAGCAGACTAATGACATGATTTCCCTCAGGGTGCTCTTCTCTAGCAGATCTTTACAGATACTTCCTGGCACAGTTACTTGACTGTATTTGAAGGACTGCATTTAGGAACAAGTGCTGCCTTCTCTAATCTGAAAATGACACTGGTGGCTGTATATTGTGCACATGA